AAGCTTTCAGATAAGAAAAAGAAAAAAATGGGGTCAGCGGTCTCGTTTTCTTACTACACAATGAAATAGGTAAATGCACAACACATTCTATTATAAAAATTACTTTATCTGAGTTATTTTCACTTATGTGGCAAATTTGAAAAAAGTAAGTCCAACAAGAGATTCTGTTTTTTTTTGTAAAATACAGCCGTAAATATGATAAAACACAAAATTTTCTTTATTAACACGAAAAGTCTTACACATGAATTACATACTACTCTCGAAATTTGCACATTTTATTATAAAAAAGATCTAGACCGATTGTTATCTGCTTTTTCAAAATATAAGATGGAGGAAGACACCCAAGCCACCTTAAACTATACCACTAGAAACCCTTGGTATAATATCTTCTAAGAAAGCAGCAACCCTCTATCAAGGAAATCATGATTGAAAAAAAAAGTAAAATAACAAAAATACCGAACTCCGAGGAAAATTCAAAACGGAAAGTCCGTAATCAAATGGCAAAATCAAAAACTCAAATATTTCAAACGAATTGAAAACAACTGTCATATTCCTGACTTGGTACAGTCATTTCCTTATGTAGAAAATGGTGGATTAAACCTGGTTTCATAGCTAGCTAAACTTCTCACTTGTATGGCAGTCGCATAGAATTCCATTATATTGACAACAATGTGTGAACAAAACAAACAGACATAAAAGGCAAATATGTCAAAAATTGGGGTACAGCAGTCAACATTGTCTTGTGATCTTAATCACTATAAAAAAACAAATAACTATTTCAACAACAAAAAAAAATATGCAAGCTCTTGAATATTGTATCAGCTGTAAGATAAATACTCTATACACAGGCTCTGCTGCGAATTTGCAACATATAATAGGAAATAAAATTGAGAATGGAAATGGGGAATGTGTCAAAGAGACAACAACCCGACCATAGAACAGACAACAGCAGAAGGTCACCAACAGGTCTTCAATGCAGCGAGAAATTCCCGCACCCGGAGGCGCCCCTAAACAAATATATATACTAGTTCAGTGATAATGAACGCCATACTAAACTCCAAATTGTACACAAGAAACTAAAATTAAAAATAATAGTTCTTAATTGAAAATCTGAAATCATCTCTTTCGTCGTAAAGTTTTGTTCTCAACTGACCCTCAATTTCTAAATAGACTGTTTAGTCTTAAATTTTTCATTTTTTGATTAATAATCTTTGAGTGGCAAATTATTGCATGGATAGTTCATACCAATAACAAAAGATAACCGTTGAGATCATCATATATTCTTTAGTAGTTACCATTGCTTAGTCTTAAGTTTATGTGTTGTGTTTTGTAGAATACAATATGTTTCAGTGTTCTGTTTTGTAGACTAGTGTTTTTCTCAGAGTAGTGTTTCGTATACTATTGTTTGTTTTATTGTTTTGTTTTGTAGATTATTGTTTGTCTGAGTATTGTGTTTCGTAGACTATTGATTGTCTCAGAGTTGAGTTTATAGACTTTTGTTTGTCGGAGTCTTGTGTTTTATAGACAATTGTTTGTCTGAGTCTTGTGACAGTGTTTTATAGACTATAATTTATCAAGAAAAACATCACATTGTGCAATGTCAAAATATAAGTTTCGAAAGAATGCAGAGAAGTAACTGTCGGTAACTGTAGACAAATTACATATTAGGGTCGTACGATTGCGTACAATTGCTTACATCCACTTCATTTGAACTGAGGTGGATAGTTGTCTCATTGGCAATAATACTACATCTCCTTATGTTTATAAGTGATGTTTTAATTTATTCATCACAAAATTAAAATGGCGAACGAACTTGGATATATACACACCCTAAGGAACATTAACAACAGGGGACAAACACGCGTTCCTTTTGTCATGTGAAACTGAAATATCTAAATCTTGGAAACGGCAGTTATTTCTCTTTTTATAAACTTTATTCAAAGTAAGTTCCCTTAAGGGCATACGATACAGTTTTGATCCCACGGTTATTTTTTTTCGAAAATTTGCATACAAGCTATTTTTCACCTAGTCAATTCAAATATGTAATAAAAAATATACCTTCATGTTTTTCTTTAAGAGATAAATGGGGTCGAAATTTCAGACATTTACTCAAAATTTCGGTTTTTTTTACATTTCTATCCTTTGGATAGACATACCTAACTTTTTTGTTTCAAAAGACAAACAAAAAGCGGATTTTTGTAAAAACATTTGGAAAATCTTCTTTACATAAGTATGCTCTAAATTTGTATAACAATTCTTTGGAAATAATTAATTTTTGTCAAAATTTTGATTTTAGAAAAAAAAACGGCATTTCATCAGTGACTTTTTCATAAAAATTGGTACAAATAATCTTCATACGTAATCAAACCTAATGTCATTTTAAAAAAGAGGGGTACATGAACTCGTTTTCAAGTTAAATCAGTCTGAATGATAAAAATCAGTCGAAAAATGCATCTTTTCCCGATATTGTCACAGTTAGACGTTGCGAAAATAACATTTTACGTTAGCAACGTCATTACCTCCCATGTAACTGTATCGTATGCCCTTAAGTAAATTTCGGCAGTGCATTTAGATATTTCTGGATAGTTTAATGAAAAAATATCATCAAGATAACGATAGGCGTTGCTAAATTTATCATTTAAATGAAATTAAAACGGATCTTCACTGGATTTGGCCATAAACTGTAATTCATAACAAGACTAAAACAAGTCTGCTATTAAAGAAGCGCAATTAGTGCAGATGGGTATGCATACAACATTTCGATAAACTTTATTACCGAAGCGTACATAGATATTGTCATGTCGAATATTTACAGGTTTAATCATCACACTTGCATTAAGTATTTCTAGCATAGTTAACCTTCTAATTACAGTAGGAAGCTTTATATGAGTTGCAAGCGAATAATTATACGAACTATTTAATTAAATAGGAAGACTTTTGTTCTTTTTCTCATTTTTTGGTTTTGTGGCCTATTGTTTTTGTTATGTTGTTGTTTGTTGATTAGACTTATGTTTTTTATTAACCCATTGTGGTTTTTTTATTGTTAACATTGGCTTCGTCATCGATACACTACAGATCTCAAGGTAACTTAGATCAGATATGATAGTACATCGATGTCAGGTATGAAATGACAGGTATTGAGGTGGGACCGTCAGAATCACTAGAAATCCAAACAGAGGAAGACCACGTAGTCAATATAATGAACATCTCCTGTATCAGCCATCACATGATTCCATAACCAATAGGAAGTATAAAAGCCAATAAACAAAGAACCTTACACCAATAATGTGACTCTATTCTATTACTAGAGATGTTTAAGATATGTTGTTTATCTAGGAAGGATAACTAAAAAAGCAACAATAATGCCTATTATGCAGTATGATGAATATGAGGAATAAAGCTACATATAAAAAAGCAGGGACATGTTAAAACATCCTAAGTCATAACAAAGTGTCTGGTTAGTGTAACAATCTTCATGCAGACTAGAACAAAGCCGGACACCTTCACTAGTATTGAATTAATATGCTATGTCCTGACGATGCATGTAATATTTGACGCTGGAAGTTAAGCAGCCATCCATCAATCAATCAATAGTTTTTCTTTCAAACGTCATATTTAGATTGTACTATATTATATTTGGAAATTTTAGGTGAACTATCTTATGTGATGTCCTGCCTACACATTCTATTTCAGAAATCCATATTTTCGCCACAATCTGTTTGATACATTGAACTGCACTTAAATTCAAGACAAAACTATTAAAGAATGGCATTATTTTTATTTTTATTTTCATAACCTCTAAAATATTCCGATTTTAAGTTAACATCAAATGCATAGGTACGTTACATAAGTCTGTTTCTTGTCTCAAGTGCACTTTTTTAAAGGATTTCATAAGATATAAAACGCAAGTGCTAAACATCATGTTACATTTCTTTCTGCAGACGCAGCTTACGTTTGATATCCATTAGCCAATCAATATTGTCCTTAGATCTTCTTATATAGAATATTCTTACATCTTGTAATTCGTCATGTTTGAATTTAACAATATCAGTATTGACATCTACAGAAAAATAAATATATTGAACGTAAAACTATCTTTTTTAATTGTTAATTAATTCCTTGTTTCAATGTCGTCACGTTACCCGCCGTTTTAGTTAAAACAGTCACTTCACATATTACCTCTAAGTGTTACACTACTACAAAATGAGGCTGACATACAATGCTTTGTTCGGCTGTGCTGTTTTTATGTGCTGATCTAGGTTGTTTTGCGTATTCGTTTTTATTCTGTAGTTAGTCACCACTTCGGTATTAACATGTATATCAATTATATTGTCATTTTTATATTTTATAAATTTACTGTTTGCAAAAATATGAATTATTTTAAATACTAAATATTTTCTTATCCCAGGCAGATAACCTAGCCGTATTTGGCACAACTTTTTGGAATTTTGGGTCATCAATGCTCTTTATCTTTAGGCCTGGCAGCTTTGATATCTATTAGATTGTCGTAATGTTCTATTGTATTGTTTATTTGTGTGTTTCTCTATCCTGTATGTTCTTCCATTTATTTGTATTGTAGTCCTGTCACGTAATGTTGTCATTTTAGTGTTATATTTAACATTGCCATTAAAGCGGGAGGTTTGGCTTGCCACGAAACCAGGTTCAACCCACCATTTTTTCTTAACATGTCTTGTACCAAGTCAGGAAAATGGCTATTGTTATCTTATAGTTCTTTTCTGTGTGTGTTGCATTTTAGTGTTTCTGTTGTGTCTTTGTTCTCCTCTTATATTTGGTGTGTTTCCCTCGGGTTTAGTTTGTAAACCGGATTTGTTTTTTTCTCAATCGATTTATGAATTTTGAACAGCGGTATACTACTGTTGCCTTTATTTATACATTGACGTGTTCATATTGCAATTGGGTTGTGTAAACTGCGATTTTGAAATATTTTGCACGCCTACAAAAGGAAAGTAAGGGCACAGATTAGAACAGAAGGCAGAATGCAAGTTTTGAATATATTTTTTCTTAATATATGTGTAACATTTTGATTGCTCTTCTTTTCACAAAACATTCTGGACTGCTTATCCTTCCTTTGTTTTTTTAAAACATGAGATCGCAATTAATAAATTTCATCTTCAGTCATACAAAAAGTCATGTTATCAATACAGAAGTTGGCAATGACTTTTTCTTCATCAAACATCAATAGACTTCTACTCTCTGTCCATTTCAACCTAGTAACCTTAAAAATTGATTGATGGATGCATCATTGTGGGTATACTAAAATCACATCCGCGCCTTTATCAACCATCACCAAAATCAAGTCCTGGTACGCTATGTTCATTAATATCTATCCACAATGTCCTTAATATCCGTGCTTGCGCTTCTTACGTTGAATATTTAAAGACATTTGACTAAATGATAAATTTGAAGACTGCTTGCGCTCCTAAACTTGAATATTTCTGGACATTCAATGCCGATAAATTTGAAGACTTTAAAGTCATGAAATCATTTTTTCCGTTGTAGAAACATTCTCCAAATATATGAAACTAAATGCAAACCTGACGAGTTGGAATTGTGACTATTACTAAAATGATTTTTATAAACCAATTATAAAAAAAAAAACAATTTAACTTTTGAATTGACACATAGCATCACAATTTACGCTATACATGTATACAGAGTCTATATACATCTCAGAGCCTAATGATAACCTACTAACGAGAGATATGTAAATCGTTTGTCATATTTATTCATATCGAATGGGTTTCATCTCAACTGCAGTATATTTTCCTTTGTTATTGTCAACGCGGACGAATCCAGTATCTTTTTCGTCACTTCCAGCGCTATTACTGGACTTTAGAATGGACCTTCTAGTGATATCTGTCACATATGGAAGCCTTACCATAGAGGATCATCCCTTTAGACAGTTATTTATTGCATGTTTGAATGTGTCTCTGAAGTTTTTCGACATGAACCCATAAACTATGGGGTTTATACAACTGTTTGCATACGACATTAATGAGAAAGCACTCCTCATGTGTTTCAGGTAGTCCTTGTCATGAAGTTCACTGAGGATACCAAAAGATACAAGGACATTATTGATCAGAATTGGACCCCGGCAACAACAGCAAACAGAAATACGACCACGATCAACATCATGATGACCTGAAGCAGAAAAGAAATGTTTCTGAAATAACAAATTGTTGACACAAGACGCATATCACTGTCGTAAAAGCCGGGAGCAAGTCATTTATAGCTCATTTTTGTTGTTGTAATTTGTAATTTGATTTGAAAGTATTTCAATATTATATTCCGCAATACCGGACAATAAAATATGGATTTGTCTGTATTCTCGAATGTCCAATTGTCAAATAAACTAAGCATTTAAGGCACCGCTGCAAAACTTCAAATATAAAGAATCTATATTACTAAATGAATAGAGTTGAAATTGGGTGTCGCGTTTTTTTTCTTTCTTTTGTTGTCGTTTGTTAGTGTAAACCAATTCAAACAGGAAAACCAACGGTCTAATCTATATAATAAACGAGTTATTTTGGGGCCCTTTATACTTTGCTGTTCGGTGTGCCGTGTTGAAGGCCGTACTTCGACCTATAGTTTTTTTTTACTTTTTACACATTGTGACCTGGATGGAGAGTTTCTCATTGTCACTCATACCACATCTTCTTGTTTACATCAAAGTCAATTCAGCACATGATATTAATATTGATTAATTGTTGGTTGCTTAACGTCCTTATGGTATTAATATAATCTATATATCTTTTCTGATTCTGCAATTACAAGGTCCCCGTAAACCAACCGGAGAGAAATGAAAAGAGACAATTTTTATTTAAATGAAACCAATTTCTTAAAAAAGAAAACAACTTTTGTCCGAGCGTCGGGGACAATCATTTGACTGGTTACGTGTTATGAGGAAGGGTTCTTAACCTTGTATAAATTATATTGAAAAAAAACGGGTAGCACGTCAAAAAATATTTGAAAGTGTATTTAACTATAACTTTAAATAATGTTAATTATCAAAAACGTCTTATATGATATTTTCTTCAGCTAAAAGACCAAACCTTGGATTTTATAATCGTATTTTATTTTGACAAAAATATTCACTCGAAATCTTGCATTGATATCGAAAAATAAACGTCAATTGATATTAGTAAGAAAAACGTCACCAGAAACGGAGAATACTGAATAAATTGGGAAATTAACAAACCAAGGGCAACAAAAACTTTGTAAAAGCGATAAAGGACACGAAATTAGAATTAAGGAGATTACGTCTTTTTGCGGTTAAATTATTTAAGGATTTAGCGTTATCTCAACTCTTAAAAAACCGAAGGAATGATAAGGTTTATTTTTGTTTCTTAGAGTTCGAAGAGATATCATAAATTTATCAAAACGTATTAACAAAACAACCGAACTCCAAGGTAGATTATAAAAAATCATAAAACCTGACAAATACAAATCACGAAATTACATTCTTCAGAAATTAGTCTGTTAGATTATCGGTATGTTTTTTTTTTTTAAGTTTTATCTTACATACATGTTCAATTTTTTTAACGCAAAACTACAAAAACTTCGATAATAACCTCATTATGAGACCCAGTCATTGATACTTAGATACATTCCAGAGCCCTACTAAGAGAGACAGAGTTAAGATGTGAATAACAAAAATATGCGCATTTCGACAATTGATGCTCGAGGTAAACAATATCCAATACCTTACAATCTTTGAAGAGCTGAGATAACTGAAAAAAGGACCAAAAGGTGTAGCCAAACTCGGGAAAAGAATTAGAGCTCAGCACGAGGAAGATACATTACTTAATCCAAAATGATAGTCTAAATTTAAAAATAATAAAAAGTAGATAAAAATACCTTGAGTGGCAGTGTTCAACCAACAGCTGTAGAAACATTATCTAGCTTGTTGTAGTAGGGAGAATATTTTGAACATGCTTTCCACATTATGTGCCGTTTAGTGGTCATCCCGTTGGATGCTTCAATGCATGTTTTATTGTATGTTTTAGTTTTTTTTTTTATGACAAATGGTCTAGATAGAAAGATAAACAAAGAGGGGGATCTGCCTACGTGAAAATAGATTAATCCAATTTACGTCAATAGAGACTGATATCATTTTAGTCAGACTCTCGATTGTGCAAGGCTTTGTCGGTAAACAACGGTGCCATTTACGTCAATAATGACTGATATCAATTTAGTCAGACTATCGATTGTGCAAGATTTTGTCGGTAAACAACGGTGCCATTTACGTCAATAGAGATTGATATCATTTTAGTCAGACTATCGATTGTGCAAGGCTTTGTCGGTAAACAACTGTGCCATTTACGTCACAATAGATTTATATATATCGTTTGCTCTTGTTCTTCATACTTTTATACAGTCTTTATTCAAATACAACTTTTTTGCAATGTTTTTATTGAAAGGTTTTTACAGCTCAATAGGTAAAAACGTTAACTATATATATGCTTTGGAAGAAGTCATTGGCCTGAAAGAGCTTAGCGTATATTCTAAGCAACCAGTTATTAGTTCAGGTCTCTGGGTCAATATATAGATGAATTCAGAAACATACCAGTGCTTTTAAAAAACGTCCATTAAAAAACACTATAATAAGTAAGACAAAGTACCTTATATTGAACTAGATAGCAGATTAATGATAATATTACAAAATTACGAGGAAAGTTAAAAAAAAAATCCACTGAACTGACTTGAAAAATGTTTCACGATTTTAATCAGATCATTATAATGTCCGTGTGTTTAAGAAAATGAAGGAAAATTTTCTTAAAAGTTTTGTATCTTTTCAATAATAAATTGAACCATTAAGGTGGTACATAACACTTCAGGGAGATAACTCTTTAAAAGTCAGTTGAACGTTTTAATCATGTTCTATTGTTAAGGAAATATTAAGCTTCTCAATGATCAAAATTAGTGTTTGTCAAACTGCTATATATCCAATGAAATTTTTCCGATAAAGAGCGTGGTTCAAGTTTTTTGAAATTTTTATATTTTTGTCAATGGGTCAAAGTAAATATTTTTTCAAAATTTTATGAAAATTTAACGAGCCAAATTAATTTTAGTCAAGGTGTTTGGTATCACCAGAGACATATATACACAATATAGGCCGTCTCTGTTACCACCTTAAAACGATTTAAATTTTTTATTCTCAGTAAAAATACAACTCTACGTTTTGCTAGAACACTCTCATTTTAAACTGTAATTGAAAGAATTATTCATGTTTGCCTCGGTCTCAAAATATTCGTTTTAGAAATGAATGTTCTGTTCATAAACTGCTATTTGGTTCCCAGTATCCTGCATTATGTGTTGTACCTGTGCCAAGTCAGGAATATTAGAGTTGGTTTCCATTCGTATGATGTGTTTGAGCTTTTGATTTTGTCATTTGATTAGGGACTTTCCGTTTTGAATTTTCCTTGGAGTTCGGTATTTTTGTTATTTACATTTGAATATATTCTTGTTAAAATTGTAAAAAGTTCATATATTTGTCAAAGGAAGTTCCATGAAAACTGGATTTTTAATCCGAAATCTTTGGGTAATCAACGTAACTTTAGTGTAACGTCTTACTGAAACATTGCCCTATTGTTTGCTTTTCAGCTATTCTTAATTTCAACATATACACAAAGGAAACGTACAGCTTTGAACAATCATATAGACAGAAAGAAAAATGTTCATCGCTTCTTGCAGATTTTTTCATTTTCCAATTTCAGCGATATAAAATTCATTCCAGGGTAATACAATTGAAATGCTTCATATTTGTAGATCTTTTGATTTAAGAAAAATTAGAATGATAGATTAAAGATATTCTTATTTGATGTTTTGTAGCGTATAATTATTCTAATTGATATTTATCTCATAATGAATAAGATTAATCTGATAGTGATAAAGATAAGATTACTGAAAGGATTATTTATTATTATTATTTGATGTCATATATTTAATTTGAATTTCACATGAGCAATATGATCGCACTGTGACTTTAATCAGAGACATAAATATAGTAAGTTTTACATGTCTCTTAATGTACAATATGTTATATGGGTCATTTTCAAAAAATGTCGAATTTTCAGTACACCCATGCTAAAATTTGTATTTCTAATGGAAATTTCAGTTGTAATGGTTTAAATGAAAGCTTGTCGGATTTATGATTCAGAACATCGATAATAAACACGATTTACATCTATTTTGATAAGATTAAAATGTATTTAAGTCCGATTTTGGGGGTATTTGTGTGCGTACAGTGTCAGAAAAACACATTGCAAATGATTTTTTTACGATTTTCTGATCGCCTTGATATCTGCAAAAGGGACTTTTTAAGAACGTTAATAATTACTCTAACGAAAAATCGTAGCTTCTTAATCATTATATGTAACATATTATCTACAAACTAAATTCAATCAGCGTCCTGGCATAGAATTGGAGAACACGAAGAGATGTATCGAGTCATTCTAGCGAGCCATCTAATGTCAATGATGTATCATCTGCATGTTGAGAAAGTACACATTCTGTATAATGTAGCGTACGGGAGGTTCATGTCAATCCTGTTACCGCTACTTAAATCAGCCGTGATATTGTTCTCCCTATGAATATCGAATCAGTCAATGTTGATTTCAAAAGTTCAAAGTTACCTTTACATTTAAAACACCACGTTTCTTGTACGACAGTGTAGAGAAAAGAAATTTTAAGACATTTAGTGAAAAAAATAGAGGGTACTTTTTTTCATGTCTATGCTGTTACCAACAATTTTGATTAATTACACCAACAGCTAGTATACTTGTAAAAAGTGCAATATCGTGTTGGAAATCAAATTCACAACAGAAAACCATAATCACTTCACCAAAGGGAGTAGTCATTTCTCAACAGCATTCAAAAATGAAGAAATTTGTCTATCCTGTTATGTCTATCCTGTTACTATGGTTGCTATGGTTACAGTAACAGGATAGACAATTGTAGACAGAAACGTCGTTACAAAAATTATCTTAACATATAGTTGCAAAACGAATGAAATATTTCGTTGTTTGAACTCATCTTAAAGTTATAACGTCTTATTCTTCCGAATTAAGCATTTGCAGGTGCAATACTGATATCGGTAACAGGATAGACAAAAAGGTAACAGGATAGACTTTTATATAGTGATATATCATAAACGTACGTTCCTGTTACCAATGAAATAAAGAGAAAAGTAAACTAACTTATGAGGGATTTACTTGATGTTGGGTTTATTTGAAAGAGAGAATAAAATGCCGAACAATATGAATTGCTATCTTAGACTTGCATTACTGGTGGTAATTTTTACAACCTTTGAAAACCAATTTTTAGAGGCATTTTTCAGTACAACCTGGAAAATTGGCAAATAATCTATTATTTTACAGAATGAATATATATAGAAGTTTATTCTCTTGAAAACCATCTAATTGGCTACGTAAAACAAGCTTAAAATTTTATCTAAACCTTTTCTTAATAACCCAAAATTTCTTTTGAAAATGGTAACAGGAGAGACAAAATATTGTACCACCTATCAAAAAATGTTTCAAGATATTCTTGTATGACATTATTAAGATTGCATCTTTTAACATGTTGTTCTTTAAGTACTGTTTGTTTTGATTTGCTTATGTAGAGGGTTGTTTGAATAAGTAACTTTTAATAAATTTTTCTATTTCAAAATTCGACATTTTTTGAAAATGACCCATATCACCATGCAGTCGTTTGAAAGACGCACCTAGCGCTATTACACACAAGATACACACGAGGGCAATAAGTGCAAATTCGTCAACCTTTATCTCAATTAATTTCTTTGCCATTTGGTCTACTGTGAAGAGTTGTCTCATTGGCAATCATACCAATTCTTTTATACATGAGTGAGTTACTCAGTTACATGTCTATATATATACTTTTCAATTTGCGTTTCTTTTCTTGTTAGCTTGCTTGCTTTAATTTATGCATGTTTGCCTAGCTATTTAAATTTATATGCATGTGTTCTTGTTGTATAATATGCTTATAATTTGATATTTGAATTTTATATTAAATATCAAGTCAGTTGAGAGATCTACAGAGCTCATGTTTACGTTGTTGAATCATACATATCATGCCCGACCCTAAATTTTCTTACTTACGCAAATAGAGTTAATATAGTTATACAAGCAAATATAGTTATACAAGCAAAGCTGAGTTGATATTTTCAAAAAAGACCTCAACATATGATATGTTATTACTATTGGACCGTTCACGTCATGAACGAATGCAGGACGCGAACCTTCGGCGAATCATCAAATCGATTCCAAATTTGGAATTCCGGGGTGGTCGTGTTGTTGAAAAATCAGACTAATATGCATGCCAGTCAAATAAGACCGATGCAAAACTGACAATTGGTAGTTGGAACTGCAACGACTGGTACGTTAAACGACAAAATGACAATGGCAGACTTTTAAGGGAAAGTATTTTAACTTCTTTGAATTGTGATGTGTATGGAATTTCTGAGACCCATTTGAATGACAATGAAGCTATCGAACTAGATGGTTATAAGTGGATAGGTTGTAATAGGCGAATTCTTTCGAACAAAGCGTGGAGGGGTAGTGGTGGAATAGGATTTTTGATTAAAAACTGTATACTTGACAATTTTGACGTCGATATTCTTGACAACAGCAGAGATAATATTCTTTGGATTAATTTGAAATGCAAATATGACCAAAACTTTATGCTTTATCTGTGTGTGTGTGTTACCTGCAACCGGAGCGGTCAAGTAGGGGCAACATTGCTCAGGAATTTTACGACCATCTTCTATTGCAGGTGTATCTTTATAGAAGCTATAACCCAGTCCTAATTTGTGGTGATTTCAATGGGCGTATAGGTAACTCACAAGATCAAACTGACTCTATCGGTACTCTACCAGAACGATGCTATATTGATTCTATAAAAAACGCGTTTTGGTGTATTTCTGTTGAAGTTCTTAAACAACTCAAATTGCTGTCTGTTAAACGGAAGAGGAGACAGTTCGAAGGACAATTTTACGTACGTTTCGCCTCTCGGTAAATCTGTCGTTGACTACATGATTACTCCGCATGCTTCGTTGAACAAATTTTACGATTTCGAGGTAAAACTTGTGTCGGACTTGCTGATCGATCACAATATTGAATTACATCCTAACTCAAGAGTCCCAGATCACTCAGTGTTACAGTGTTCTTTTGATTATTCGGAATATCGAAATTATACAAGTTCGCAGGTAACTAAAACGCCAATTTATGAAAACAACTATGTAAAATCTGGGATGCGAAAATATGACGTCACGAACATCCCAAATGATATATTCAAGAGCGAACGATGTGTGCGCTGTTTAGACAAAGTTGTCGATTCACTACTCGATCGCCATAACATAGAACAAAAATTAACTCAATCTATGAAACGTTACTGAATGCAATTCATGACGAAATGGACAAGGTTCTTGACTACAAAGATCTTGGACAAAGCACACACAAACGCAAGCGCCGCAACACAAAACCATACTGGAACAACGAATTACGAAACGTGAAATAAATATTTCCGAAAAGGACTATTTGAGTTATCAGGGTGAGCGTCGAGTAAAAATAAAACGAAGGGAGGTATTCAAAACAAAGCGTAGACAATTTGATAAGCGTCTGCGACAAGAAGAACAGAAATATACAGCTCAAAGACTGAATCGAATAAAATCAATCAATCGGGGCAATCCAAAAGAATTTTGGCGTGAAATCAGTAAATTAGGTCCAGGAAAAACAGCGACAAACATTGATAGTGTCAACATGGACGATGGGTCAGTTGCTCATGATCCCTCCGAAATTTTACAACGATGGAAAGAGAAGTATTCCAAACTGTTCTCTAGTGACAATACAATAGTCGATTCTGAATTTGTAGAGCAATTGCAAAACCTTAATTCACAACTAGAGCGTGAATATGAAAATCTCCCTGTTAATCAGACATATATTGACAACACGAGCACATCTGAATTGAACGAACCTATTTCTCTTGATGAAACGAAACGTGCGCTAATGAGTTTAAAAAATGGCAAAGCAGTAGGAATAGACAATTTACCTAATGAAATACTGAAATGTGATATACTGACGAAAACTCTTCACGAACTGTTCAATGTATGTTTTAGCTATGGAATTGTTCCAGATCCTTGGTGTCGAAGCATTATATGTCCTCTGCTAAAAAAAGGCAAGGATTTCCGCAATCCGATGGATTACCGAAGCATAAGTCTGATGTCAACTGTCGCAAAAACATTTATTCAGATTTTGAACGAAAGGCTCATTAGTCATCTCGAAAACAATAACTTTCTCAGTGAGGAACAAAACGGATTAAGGCGGCTTTGATCATGTCTGGACCATATCTATTCACTGTGTACAATATTGAGAAACAGAAAACTGCAGAACAAAGACACTTTTTTGTGCTTTGTTGACTTCAGCAAGGCATTTGATTCAGTGAATCATACAATACTCTGGAATAAACTTTTAGCCGTGGGTGTGTATGGAAATATGTACAAAGTAATTAGGTGTCTCTACTCAAAGCTACAAAGTGCAGTACGATTATCGCCTACGATGTTAACTGAATGGTTTTCAGTTGATGCCGGTGTCCGTCAAGGTGATAACCTCGCGCCCACTCTTTTTGCGTTGTTTATTGATGAATTGGTAACACTCATTAACGGACTCTGTTGTGGCGCATTAGTCGGTGACGATATGATCAGCTGCTTGCTGTACGCTGACGATCTAGTCCTTATTTCGGACACTGTTGACGGATTACAAAATCAGCTTAATGCTCTGAACGATTGGACAAAGATACAATTAATGAACGTTAATACAGAAAAGACAAAAATAATGCATATTCGAAAGACTACAAAGGACAGACCTCAATTTACATTTCGACTAGGGGACAACACAGTTGAACTTGTAACTAAATATCGCTACTTGGGACTCACATTATCCGAGCATATCGATTATAATGTCTCTGTCAATGAACTCGTAAGTACAGGTTGTGCTGGCTCGACCAGTCAGTTTAAACCAGGTGATTGGGTTTACTAAGAGATAAAACAATCAGGTGCTGACTTTTATTCTATCACCAATCCAAAAATGGTAAATAACTGAAAATACAAAATAAAGTACAATTTTACAATGTGTTAAATAATATAATTAAAGTTAATGATTCATCCGGTATGGAGTAGCGGCGTAGTCCGGGATGTAGCAATTCACTGCTTCGACACGGCGTAGTCCAGAATGTAGAAATGAAATACTTCCAATGTAAAAATAGATAAATTATACTTTTGTTGCACAGTTAAATGTATCACGCGCAATTTGAAGGCATCAATTAAACTATTTCAAATGTTACTCACGCTGTGGTTAGCCACAAATTGAGATTAAGAATGCATCCTGCGACAGTCCTTTGTCCAGTGATGTGACGTGGCAAGGTTGATTTGCAAAAGACGGATGCGAGGCTACGGTAACAATAGAATGTTTTACGGTGAAGTCCAGATTTAACTCCGGAAAAATATAAGCTAATCGGGAATATAATTACACAAAATATATAGATAAATTAGGGAATCCAAGGCAACACACTCCCCGTCTGATATCAGACTGATATCACTATTCAATGATTAAATCACATATGAATATAGAATATATTAATCCTAATTGAAACTGGGTACGGCACAGTTTCTCATTCTTTAAAAGGAAGTATCCGACGATATGATAGTCATCTGTGTACATTTTCCATTGTTGTTGTTGCAACGGTAAGAACAATTTTTCCCAACGTTGAGAGACGGCGATCGAAGATAGTCCTCTTCTGACTTTGCTATAGTCACATATTTGTGGGTCTCTGGCGAAATAAATCGTTTCCCCTTAACGTTTAATCCTGCGGATCTAGTTGTTATATGACGATCTCGATATTTGATTTTGTCGAAGTAATGTCTGACAAAAGGTGTTACTTTGTGATGACGTCCAGATAGGATCACTGGTTCCTTTTCATTAAGATTCGAGTCAGATATGACGATACTGCTTCCTACTCGGAGTAGTCCTTGCTTACTCAAAGGCAGATTGAGATTGGCAATTGGTCCTTGTTTCGGAATAGGTTTTTGTTTCTGAACGCAACTTATTTCTTCTCCGTGATTTTCAGGTCTTGCTGATTCCAGAATGAAAGTTTCGTTATCCCTAGAATTTTTGATTGAGGCCATAGATTTCGCTTCTGTTGACACAAGTGCTGTTCCTTTTGAAAGATTCGTGAATCTATCAGACTTGGTACTAGGTCCAGTACACTGAAGAATTTTTATGGAATGCGTTTTTGCAACCTTGACATTCGAATTAAAGTTCTGGTCGTGATCCTGACTTACGATTGGATTCTCGTCCTTGACTGATATTTCCGGTCCTGAGGCAAGAAGTTGTTCTGGTTCCGTAAATGAAACGTTAGTTATCTTCGTGTTGACTTCAAGTGGAACAGTTTGCTTGTCAACATATGTATTTCCAATTATGACCCAACCAAGTTTCAACTTTTGGGCAAATGGATTTCTGGATGGCCCTAGGCGTTGTTCAAGGACGTGGTGTGCCTCTATAAGGTCTCTTCCGATTAACAGATGAATTTTGCACTTTTCCTCTATTGGTGGAATGCTTCCTCTGAGTTATTTCAAATGAGGATGATGCATTGTTACTTCACGAGTAGGGATTTCGTCCCGATTATTGGGAATATTATCACATTCAATTAATGTAGGCAGATCAAATTGTACGTCACCATGTACAGATTTTATGACGAAATCTCTTCCTCTCTTCCCAGAAGTAGCTACTCTGCCGGAGCATGTTGTAAGAGAGTAGTTTTTAGGTTTTTCCCGAACGTTGAACAGACTGAAGAATTCAGGCGAGGCAAGAGACCGGTTGCTTTGGTCGTCAATGATGGCGTACATCCGAATACTTTTGTCAGTCCTGTCCTTGTGGTACACATCCACAGGTAATATCTTGGCATAAGATTTCTCACTCTTATGATCCTTGTAGATCTCTGTGCAGGTCGAACTCACAGAGGTTAACTTTGTTTCAGCTGACTCTGTCTGCTCCCCGCCGTAGATTGTTCCAGGCGAATTATCTTGAGAAATGGTGTGTGATTGCTTCCTTGTTATGTGTAGTGCGGTGGTGTGTCGTTGACTTCCACACTCGTTACAACTGATGCTCGCGTTGCAATCACGACTTCTGTGTGTGGTTGACTCACAACACTTGTAGCACACATTGTTCTGTCTTAACAGTTCTTTGCGTTCCTCGATTGATTTGGCTCGGAACGCTCGGCATTCATTCAAGGGATGCTTTGTCTTGTGTAGGATACACAGATCTTGTTGTTGACTGCTGTCTCCAGTTTGCTGTTCAACATCCGTCTTATGGATGTTGACTTTAGAGTAGGTCTGAGGTTTGAACTTTGGCGCAGCACCTTTTGTATTTGGTGTGACTTTTGACCCAAAGATGAAACCAGGATCGTTCTTTATTTTGCTAATTTCCCTGATGAAGGCAGAGAATTCTGTGAAAGGTGGAAAGGCAACTTCGTGTTTAGACTTGTATCTTGAAGCCCTTGTTATCCACTTTTCTTGGAGTCCGTATGGCAGTTTTTCTTCAATTGGATTTATCCCGGACGAAGAGTCGAAATAAGCTAGCAAACATCCCAGCTTGGGATTTTCTTTGTGATACTCTATTTCTGAGATAATATCTGACAAATCGTACAGGAGTGAGTTGTCTTTATTTGTCAGTGTTGGAAAGTTGGCAAGTTTGTTGACGAGAAACGCCTCCAACATTATTGGAGCACCATATCGGTCGTCCAGTCTCTCCCATAGTCTGTGTAGGCCCCTTGTTGGGTTGTTGGCATTTGATGCCCTTATACTCATGGCATGTTTGGCAGACTCTGGTCCAAGCCATTAGGTCTATCTGTTCCGAGTCTGAAACTTGTAATTCATCTATGACGTTTTTAAAGCTGGCTTTCCATGTATTGAAGGATTCTGCCCGATCATTAAAGCTTGTTAGCCGGGAGAACAACAGGTCCTTGCGTAGGAGAAATCTGGTTATCTCCGACGTAGGATTGATTTTTTGTTGGTATGCAACAGGGATATCTTCTATAACGCCTTGTTTATGGTATGCAACAGGGATCTTTTCTGAAACGCCCTGTTTTTGTATGTCAGTTACCGTTCCCAGATCTGGGATTAAAGTAACTTCTGGTGACTTGGTATTGGTAGGCAAGACAGCAGGTGTTTGTGACGGCAAGTTCAGTGCCACGGATGGCACGAAAGCTGGTGCTTCAGGAATCAGCTTAATCTTAACAGGAATTTGTTTTATCTTTTGAGGTCCTGTTACTTTCTGTACAGCAGTTGGTACATGATGTTTATTGACGAAATCTTGAACACGCTGAAGAGGGTCTTCCGTTTCGTCAGGGAGATCGCTAAATGCTTGGCTGCCGTCGTATTCAAGGATACGAGCCTCGGCTTCTGCGGCTGCAGCTTCTTTTTGTGCTTCTAGAATGTTCATAGCAGCCTTAATTTCTGCTTTTTTCCGTATTGCACGTGTAGCCTCTTGTTCCATTACAGTTTTCCTGCGTATGGCCTCATGTTTCATTTCAGCTTTCAGGTGTGCAGCCTCAGCATTTCTAGGAATGGCCTCGTGCTCCGCCTCGGCTTGTCTACTTGCGGCTTCTTGATCTGCTCTGATTGCTTCTTGTTCTGCTCTGATGGCTTCTTGTTCCGCTTCGGCCTTTATTTCATTTTGCTTGAAAAGAGTCTGTTCTTCTATCATTGCCTCCTGCTTTAGTAGCAAGGCCTGTTTTTCAGCAAAGGCTATCTGATATCTGGCAGTCTCTGCTTTGGCACGCTTCCTTCGTGCAAGACTTGACATGTCAGAGACGTTGGAGCTCCCACTGTGCGAAGTTTTCTTGCCCTTAGATGTCTTGGTTTTTGTAGAGTTAGCCTTTGTCAGGTTGAGGCGATGCTCGTGTAAGGTTTCAATTGCTAGGTCAACTTTAGACATTCGGATATCTGTTGAAAGTTTACACGTATCAATGTCTTGAAGGCTGTCTAACGTTCTTGTATTTTTAAGAAATTTCAAGTACTCGTCTGTGAGCCTGCGATAATTAGTACAGGCTTGTACAATTTTATCTTGTGCTGTTAGCAATTGTTGGAGTTCGTTAGGAGGCGCGGTCGTTTCCAATAACTGAGATTCTAGGTCTGACTATAGGGCCTCTAAGTCATAATAGAACTTGTCACGTTTCTCAGTAAAGGCTCCCTGTCCCTTTTCGGAAAGTTCACGTACTCGCCTAGTCTCGGCATTTTCATCTAAAGGTGTTGTAGTAGACGGGTTCTCTATTTGTTCTTTAAAGACGTCTCCCTATGGGGGTTGAACCATGTCTTGCTGTTCCGCGTGACTGGTATCCATGTTGTAAATCAACTAACTGTAGGCAATATTGATTCAACGTTGTTGGTTTGCTGTCTAGGACATACAAGCTGTGTTGCGTAGTGTCAAGGTAACAACTACGAACGGTGCTCCGTTGTATTTCCTGATCAGGAGATGTGCAGACAAGTTGATGTCAATTTACTATGTTCCAGGAATGCACAGCCGATGTCTGGTTGTAGAGGTTGTCACTGCCGCAAGGTGGAGTGTTCTGTGATACACAACAGGCAAGTTGTAGCTTATTTACTGTGCTGGCTCGACCAGTCAGTTTAAACCAGGTGATTGGGTTTACTAAGAGATAAAACAATCAGGTGCTGACTTTTATTCTATCACCAATCCAAAAATGGTAAATAACTGAAAATACAAAATAAAGTACAATTTTACAATGTGTAAATTAATATAAAGTTAATGATTCATCCGGTATGGAGTAGCGGCGTAGTCCGGGATGTAGCAATTCAATGCTCCGACACGGCGTAGTCCAGAATGTAGAAATGAAATACTTCCAATGTAAAAATAGATAAATTATACTTTTGTTGCACAGTTAAATGTATCACGCGCAATTTGAAGGCATCAATTAAACTATTTCAAATGTTACTCACGCTGTGGTTAGCCACAAATTGAGATTAAGAATGCATCCTGCGACAGTCCTTTGTCCAGTCATAGATATAATAGCCATAGATAAAGTACTGGACCCACATCAAAAGCAGATGATATTTGCCGAAATTTTATCACTCTCTTATTATATACATGTCACGCTTGGTGTTAATTAGCCTTCATTGGCAATTGCCGTCGATCGATATCATGAGAACATGAGAAATCAAGTAGATATTATATTGCTTCAAGAGCATTGGTTATTCGATCATGAGCTTAATCTCTTAGATGAATTAAATTCACATTTTTGTGGCAAAGGAAAGTCGATTAACTCTGGGAAAAACACATGTGATTTATTGATAAAATCAGTCAGAGGATATGGAGGTGTGGCCATAATATGGGACCGCTCAATTGATCAGTATGTAAAACCCATAATTGATGGAAACAATAGAATTCAATGTATTGAACTAGCCCTAAAAAATCCGATTTTATTAGTCTCTGCATATCTGCCAACAAAAGCAGAAAATGACAAATTTGATGGTTCAGTGAATGTATAGACCAACTATTTGAGATTATTCAAAAATATGAGCTTACACATAGCCTCGTAATTGGAGGAGATTTCAATGAGGATATTTCAAAAATAAATAACTCAAGAAGAGCATTAAAATTGAAAAAATTAATAGATGAATGTAACATGAAAGTAGATTTTAAAGGTCCAACCTTCATCAATGTTAAAGGAGAAGAAATCTCTGAAATCGACTACTTCATATACAAGACAGAAGTCATTCACAAAACCTCAAGATTAACTGATGTAGCATCCAATGTATCTGATCATCATCCGATCATGATCACACTTCCATGTAAATTTTTAAAGAAAGATGACATATTAGAGAGTAATGTACAATCAAGAATTAGATGGGACAAAGTTGATATTAATAAATATAATACTATTATAGCACAAGAAATTCCTATGTTAAAGGAAAAATTACAGAATCAACAAAATTCAGTTACGACCACAATAGAACAAACCATGGAAATGCTTTCAAGTACGGCTAAGAAATGCTCCGCTCAAAAAACGTATGGGAAAACAAACTGAAATTAAAATTATGGAATCAGGGCCCAGTTGTTCAAAAGAGTCGTTAGCCTTAACGATGATTAAGGCTAACGAGTCGTTAAATCTTAACTAAGTCGCTAGCTAACATTTGCGTTAAAATGTGTTGTTCAAAAAATTTTAACGACAATGTTAACTAACACTGCGTTAAGAGTCGTTAAATTTTTTTATGTTAAATTGTTACCCATAATGCACAGAAAATCTTCACTTCCTGTTACCAAGATGGCTGAATTGTCAGCAAAGAAATTGCCAAGGGACAGAAAAGCCAATTTCACCTCCATTGAGGCAAACTTGATCAGTTCTCGAGTGACAAATGAGTTGGAGTTGTTAAAAGGGGGATTTTCAACAGAGGTGACAAACCAGAAGAAAAATGAGGTCTGGAAACTCATAACAGAGGAGGTCAATGCTTTGGGTGTCTGCTTCAGGACTGAAGCAGAAGTTAGAAATAAGTATCGCAATATGTGCCGTGGTGCAAAGGAAAAATTCACTAACTCCAGAAAGGAAATGACCAAGACTGGAGGTGGACCACCACCCACACAGTTGAGCATTGCTGAGGAAAACATTGTGAATGCAATGAGGGATAGTGCCTCATTCAGTGGAGTTGATGGCATTGAGACAGATATAACTTGTAATGGTAGGTATTTTTTAAATTTAATTTAATTTATACTTAAATTTCATTCTTTATTTTGACTTAAAAACTTTGTTTTTTAACCTGTAAATGCAGAAATAAGTTTACGCTAACGATCGTCTGCTTTGACAGAAGGGTTTCCCATAGCATGGGATTTCCTCGCTTTAAATATCTTTGACCTTGACATGTTCTAAAAATATATGTCTATCTACTTAAATTATCATACGTATGCATGCGTCATTAGTGGTCACTTGTATATAAAGGATTGAATCATCCACTTACGCTTTTTACATTCGGATATCCTGAAAACAGTATTTAACCATTATTTATCTTTATTTTGACTGCAAAACCTACTTTCCTCATCGTGTTGTTTTGTTGTTTTGCTTTTGCCGCTTTTTTGTCCCTTGCAACATTGAAAAATAAATTTTATACGGAGATATGACTTTAAAAGAATCAAAAACTGGTTTAAAGTGATGAAACTGTTCTAATCAATATAAACAACCACTTATTAAGTTTAAAATATTTAATTTGATGTACATATAAGAACTTATTAGTTGCTTACACCATAGATAAAAGGCTATAGCCTGTTTCTTATATCTTGTAAATGAATAATCTAGAGTTATTCCTCTTTGTACTTCTACTTTCAAAATAAAAAAAAACCAAATCCAGTACTACTTTAAACAGGGGTCTTTACAAAGTGACCTCCTAAAACTGAAAAAACTAAAGAAAATGAAAGCAAATAAAACAAACAGACAGATACATCAAAAAAGTAGCATTTCTCTTTTTAAATAACCACAAAGTCATCATTCACATGTGCACAAAAAAAAGTTGAAAAATGAAGCAAAAGTGGAACCAAGTTCTTTTAAACCATTTGATCTTAACCATTTTATAGGTCATTTGTTAAAAAAAGTAAGAAGATTCAATATAATATACTTTCAAATAAAACCAATTTTTTTTCTTCAGATCGATACCGCCATGGTATTTATTATCATGTCACATATGAAACATTCAGGTTATTGTCAGTATGTTAGATTTTGTTTTTACTGAAAATCTTTACAGAATTTCTATTTCTATTTCTTTACTTAATATTTTAGAAGCAAATCTTGCCACAAATGGAAGCCAGTCTCCATGCACAGCTACCCCCAGGCCTACAGCAGAAGAATCTGTCTGGATAAGAGCTTTAGACAGACACCACTCAAACTTGCAGAACAATCAGCAGACCTGCCCAGTAGCTGATGATGCTGAAGGGACTGATAGAAATGCCACATGTCCAGGTCCAAGTAGTTCAGCATCTTCCCAGTCTAAAAGATCTTCAAGTTCATGCAGGTAATGTTACTACACATTTACAACAAGAAATTCCTCATTTCATTACATTAGCCATTATATACATGTTCAACAGTTATATGTCTCCATTTTTGTCCGGTGCACAATTAAGAGAGAAATGATTTCATAAATTTTATCTGCGTTTAGGCTCTTAACAAAAAATTAGAAAATCATAAGCATTCCCTAAAAAAATTACAAACACATATCTAAAAATAGCCTTTAAAAAATTATCTTTCCAAAAATGCTAGAAATAACAATAAGGAGATGTGGTATGATTTTCAATGAGACAGCTATCTAGCAAAGTCAAAATAAAGTTGATATAAGCTATTAAGCAACCGTGCAGCCTTCGACAATGAGAAAAACCCATATTGTATAAATGACCCTGCAATGGGTCAACAAAAGAATTTACGAAAAAACAAATAAAAAGTAAATTAAAAACCACTGACCTACAGGCTACTGAATTGGGACAGAATGTGTGTGCACTCAACCTTTTGGTAACCTGGGACATGCAGTGATGTTACAGCAAAACATAAGAACAAACTATAATAAATTGCTTCGCCGAGCGCAGCTGGATACGACCGCTGAGGTCCAACCCTGAACAGTTGGGGCAAAAATGGACACAATATTCGTGCTTGATACAGGTCTGAATTTGGATTGAAATTAAATGTTTGACACATAATATGTTTCTAACACAGAATAACTGTATTCAAAGAACTTAGAATTGGTTATATGATGGATTTGAATTTATATTCAATTTTTTGCTTTTGTGCAATACACTATGCTGTTGCGAATTGCCCCCCCCCCCCCCCCAAAAAAAAAATACCCCTCTGTTTTTTTGCTTTTGTGCAATACACAATGCTGTCTGGTGCGAATTGAACCCCCCCCCCCCCCCCCCCCCCGCAAACTGACTTTTTTTTACATAAATTGTCATCCTGCCTTTTTTGGGCAAAGTGTCTCATCCTGCCTTTTTTTTTACTCAAAACTCCTGTCCTGCCTATTTTTTTTTCAAATTTCATCCTACCCCCACCCCCTCCTAAAAATCAATTGGAAGCTCCATAACACTGATGCACACATCTGGATACTAAAATTTTAAATGAGCAGACAAAAAAGGGAAATAATTGTTCCATAAGAATACCACTGATGAGACACACTCCAAGGAAAAAGGACTGTTGAAAATTGTCAAAACTTGAATATGCAAATAGACTCTTATATTGGTTATTACAGTAATTATTTTCAATATTGTGCTCTCTTTCTCACAGCATACAGCCAACACCCAAGAAGAAGAAAACAGCTGAAGATGTTTATGCATTACAATGTGCAGTTCTTGAAAAAGAACTAGAGAAGAACATACTTCAAATAGATCTCTTGAAAAAATTGCTTGGCAAATATGACAATTTAGATTCTGATGCCCTGGAACTACTGTCAGTTTTGGGGCAGTGATTGTGAAAACATTAGAAAACTTTTCAAGTTGTTTAATATTCTATTTACTTTAATGTTTGACTTGTTTTAATTGCTTTTTCCAAAATACCATTTTTATTACAAAATCCATTTATTAAAATACTGCATATATTATATTGATTTATTTTCTATTACATGTACCACATATTGTATTTAATTCTTTTTAATTGAAATTGATGATTAACTTTAAAAAATGAAGACAGCTAGCAATTTGGATTTTGCATTGTATTTTGTCATTTCTGTGGTCCTAACAATGAAGTGGTGTTAAATTCTTTATGTCAAATGTGATAATTTCAGGCTGATGTTCAGAGATAATAATTCCAATGTTGAGTCTTATTTCATTGGTCACCAACAATGTTTCTGTATATGACTATAAGGTATTGATTTTTCTCATTGTTGAAGGCTGTACAGTGTCATGTAATTGCTCCTTAGTCCTATCTATATCATTTGAACTCTAGAAGATTTTGTCTCATTGACAAGCATACCAAATCTTCTATTTTCATTGTTGGTGCAAGATTTTGGCAATTGTCAAATCTGATTTCTCTTGAACATTCAAAGCTTAACAATTCTATGAAAGCGTAAATAATCCTGGTCCTTCAGTTTTTTGGATTACATAAAAATAAAGAAGGTGAAACAGATGCTTTAACTTTAATGACGGTTAAAATAAGTTCCAGCAATGTGTTCCCTAATCCCTCTTCCATCCTGTTGTCCATTGTAGTTTATTCCATTTTCTACATCCTCATTAACAGGCTCTTCTGCTGCTACATCTGGTTCATTAAGTTGTATGCAGATGTTGTGAAGAATGCCACAAACCATAACTATTTTGGTTACCTTTTTGGGATCCATACGAATCTGCAAAAGATAAAAATAAATTACCATGCAGGTTTAGGGTTACACAAGATTGTGTAGTTGAAGGAAGAATACGATGCATGTATAGTCGATGGTGTGTTTTTTTTTTCTTTACTTGAACACTGATTTGTGCTAGCTGTTGCTTAAACAGCCTAAAAAAATGTATAAGTTGTAAAATTAAGTTTAAACAAAATGCTCCGCTGGGCGCAGCTTGATACGACCACAGAGGTCGATCCCTGACCAGTTGGGGCAAGTATGGACACAACATTCAAGCTTGATACAGCTCTGCATGATTGTGATTAAATATTTGACACAGCATAGGTTTCTGACACAGAATGAATGTTGTCTAAGAACTTAAAATTTTTTAATTTATCTATTATGGTCCAATATCCAAAATCTAAATACATGGTTAGATTCGGCATATCAAAGAATTCAAAGAATTCAATTTTTGATGAAATCAAACAAAGTTTCATTTTGGACCCTTTTGACCTCAATGTGGACCAATTTGATCACGGGGCCCAAAAATCAAAAATCTAAATACATGGTTAGATTCAGCATATCAAAGGACCCCATATAATCAATTCAGTTTTGTTGAAATCAAACAAAGTTTAATTTTGGACCCCAATTTGGACCAACTTGAAAACTGGGCCCATAATCAAAAATCTAAACACATGTTATTATAAAAAAAAACTAATTTTGGACCCTTTGGACCCTGAATGTAGACCAATTTAAAAAACTGGACCCGAGATTAAAAATCTAAATAAACGGTTAGATTTGGCATATCAAAGAACTCCAATAATTCAAATTTTGATGAAATCAAACAAAAAGTTTAATTTTGGACCCTTTTGACCTCAATATGAACCAATTTGATAGTGTGGCCAAAAAATAAAAAATCTAAATACATAATTAGATTCAGCATGTCAAAGAACCCCATATATTCAATTTTTGTTGAAATCAAACAAAGTTTAATTTTATACCCCAATTTGGACCAACTTGAAAACTAGGCCCAAAATCAAAAGTCTTAATACATGTTTAGATTCAGCATATCAAAGAACCCCAAGAATTCAATTTTTATTAAAATCAAACTAAGTTTTAATTTTAGACCGAAAAAAATCCCCCCCCCCCCCAAATTTGTTGAACCCCCTTATGATTCATCACCCCCAAACTCAATCCCAGCCTTCCCTTTGTGGTATGGTATCTTGCAGTACAATATCAGAGAGATCCATACACTAGAACACAAGTTATTGTCTGGAAACTAGAAAAATGCTTGTTTATTGGCCCCAAATTCCTTAACGTTTAGGGCAATTAGGGGACGACCATTTGATATTCTGGGGTGGCACCAGATTCTTCATTTAAATATACTTGAAATGTCTGAAAATGGGTTTCATTTAACTTGAGGTATATTGGCTCAGAAACAGTTACCTCACTTTTATTACAGGGCTGTAACTACATTGAGGCAAATGCCTTTATGTAGGAAATTTTAAAACCAAAAGCTTGTCTTCATATCAAAATGTTTTCACAGCGAGTGTTTGCAAGAAGCAAGTTCTGTTCTCCCTTGGACGTAGCACCTGTTTTTTCGGGATCAATGTTTCTTTAAATTTGTCTTTTGTTCATTGATTGCCCTTCTGTATTCTCTTAGTGTTGCATTCCTTTTGTGATTTAGTAATTTGTTTTCAACTTGATCATCAGTTTTATTTTATTTAAGACTTTTTAGCTAATTTTACAACTTAACTACTTTAAATTGTATCCCAGTTAAGAGCGACATCAAGTTGTAATTGAAATGTGTTATTAAAAATTACTTGACATAGTTATATCACTGATAATCAGCCCCCTCTTAACTTAATTTGAATAAAACCCCATATAATTTACAGGTATAAAAGATTTAAATTCTGCATGCCTAAACAAAAAAAACAAAAAAAACAAAAAAAACAAAAAAACCAGCAGCCACATACTTCACTATGTGAATTACATTTTTACTTTATTCTTCATATTGGTCTTTTGATGTTGTCCATAAAAACTTAAGTCTTACGCTGAATCTATACATTTTGCTTTGAGACCAAAATATTATCAAAAAATTATTAAAACAGAACTTGCGTTTTCAGAATAAGAAAGGGTCTGGGAAAGCCCAGAAAGCACAATTTTGAATCATTTGTTCTATAGTTTCTTTGGGCCTTCAGCGGCATCAAAACCCTTAAAAAAAAATTAGCATCGCTCCGCTCGGCCTAAATATATTTGGCAATACTTTAAAAAGAGCTAAGTCACAGCCCAACTCTAATACCGTGTATGTATGCAATACATGTATATGCAGTTTGGAATTCAGAAGATTCATTTCCGCAGAGGAGGAGGATCAATTCTGATTAAATGGTACATTAATGACTTGACTGTACATGTATTATTTATAATAAAAAATGAATTTAAAAATTGTATGTTTTCAAATATTATTAATATAGTTATAAAAATAAATAATCAGTCCCTTGTTTTAATGAAAATAAAAAATCTTGCTTCAACAGTGCAGAAAATAAATAATCTGTCCTCTTAGTTTACAAAAATAAATAACCGAATCCAAAACAAATCCTCCTGCAAACCACCCCCCCCCCCCCCCCCCAAGGATATCAAATGGTCGTCCCCTTACCCCCAAACTCAATTCCAGCTTTCTCTTTGTGATATGGAACCTTGTAGTGCAATTTCAGAAAGATTCATACACTTACACACAAGTTATTGTCATGAAACTAGAACAATGCTTGTTTTTTCCCCTTTTTTGGACCCTAATTCCTAAAATTTTGAGGCAATTACCCCCAAAATCAATCCCAGCATTCCCTTTGTGACATGGAACCTTGTGGTATAATGTCAGAATTTTTTTGCGGTCGTATAAAAATTAGATGACCGGAATAGCTCTGGTGATGATGATGGGATCGAGTTTTAAACAACCTTGACTGGCTATACAGCCCTCGCACGGTCGGCCCTGGCTTGCGCCTTTTTGGGCATTGGTTGGTAACGGACCATAATATATACTAAGACACAACTCAGGTGCAAATTTACTTCTAATATTTAAATTTTTCAGATTCCAAAGAAGGGAACAACCATTTAGTATTTAGGGTGAGGGGGTGTATGGTATTTTTCTGAAAAAAATATTATGATTTCCAATTTTAAAGGGGAAAAATACTCCAATCAATGAGAATCTAAATAATCACTCACTTCAGAATGCAATATGTGGAACCTTCTCTTCCATCTGCCAAATGTCCTTTCTATAACAGATCTTGTGACCGCATGACATCTGTTGTACCTTCTATGGTGTTGTTCAATGGGATTCAGAAAAGGTGTCATTAAAAAAGACCTGCAGGGATAGCCACTATCACCAAGTAAGATACCATTTTCCCAATTGCCATTTCTCTCCATGTGAGCACACACCTGCATGAGGAAATATATTTATGGTAAAGAATATACATGCATATCAGTTCAATTGGTATTGCTATAAGATATTTCATTGGCAATCATACCACATCTCCATTTAATTATTTAACATAAATTATAGGGTGGGGGTTCATTCTTTTTGATGGATGATATCTGAGAGACAAATAAATACAGTATTATATGTCTCTGATATGATATGAACCAAAAACATTGGACTTTTTTTACAAAATGAAAATATTTTGCACCTACACCTAGCTTGTCTACATGAAACAGAAATATATATATATACCATCTGGGACTAATAGAATCACACTAAAGTGTTCTCAATATTATGTAAAATTATGATCTGTTTACTATTCTAGACTAATGAAGCTGATTTAAATTATTAATTGCCCATTTACACTCACCTGTGATGTTCGGAAAACATGGGAATCATGACAACAACCTGGCCAATTTGCATTTATGTTTGTAAATCTTCCTGAAAACAAAGTAAAGAAAAAAGTTATTTTCAATTAAAACACAGCTAAAGCAGCAATTTAAGTTACTATTTGTTAAGCTTACAATTTTTACTAATTTTCATAAATTACTTATGCATCAAAGTCATTTCCCAAAAAGGGAGGGGCCAAGGATTATAAAGCATATGTCTTATTAATCCAGCGTCTTTCTTTCATGTAATTTGTGTATAGTATAAAACTGGAAAAGGGGGGGGGGGGGGGTAGTATTACTAATGAATAAGTTGTACATTCTTTTTTTTTTTTAAAGTCTTGGAAAACAAAATAAATAAAAACATTTTTTAAGCTGGAAATTATTTTTCTAATACTGTATGGAATTCTTTATGTAGGTCTGGGAAGAGTAAAACTATTAATATTTCAAAGGGCAGAGTTACTTTAAA